ATTCAGATTTATTTCCGTTCATTTGTACCCATTGTGGTAAAAAGTTCCGACGTCACCAAGACCTTGTGAACCATGTGACAACCCACACTGGGGAAAAGCCTCATGTGTGTGATGTCTGCGGGAAGGGATTTGGTGTTAAGAATGACATGAGACGGCACAGGCGTATACATTCAGATGAAAAACCTTATATTTGTGCCATATGTGGTGTGTGTTTTGCACAGAAAAGGTACCTTAAGAACCATGATAAAAATCATCATAGGAGAGAAAATGTTAGTGATGTTTGATTTTATAAGACTTAAACATCATGTATAGAAAAGATCGTGAATGCAAAGGTGTTCTGTTTTGAGAAAGTAGCGGATAAAACCGAAATTGTTGTCAGAACATCAGAAATATACTTTTATGTAAATCAAAATATTGTGTGATGTTAGATTTCAGTGTAGTAATTTATTTGTATTAAATATAATTTTGACTGATAATATTGAGTCTTATTATGTATAGTGCTGAACGAATGTGACTGTAACTGCTGCAAATAGTAGATTTTAGGGGGATATTGGATTAAACTAGCTTTTATGACCTTTTGCTGAGCTTTTGCAATAGTGTGTTTGAACCTGAGTTTTAGCAACAACAGATATGGCTTCATACCGAAGATAAATTGAATTTTAATATATAATGTGTTGTTTTTAGAAGTATCTGGTAAGTTAATTTTGAGCACTGTGCTTCACTGACTATACAAAGAGCAATAGTCCACTTTTGGTCTTCATTTTATGTTGTTATGTGTTGGCGTTAAGGTTAGTTATTGCTGTCATTTCACTGGTCACTACTTCATATCAGCAGTTGTTTCTGGCAGTGGAGGAATGTACAGTATCTTGTCTTTTAAGTATTCCATATGGAGAATTCGTAAATTAAAGCAGGATATTGTGAAGACTGAAATTGGAGCAACATTTCCCCCAACCATTGTTAAGGTAAGTATTTGTTTAGAAATATTTTCACATCGATATGAAATGGGATAATGTACCATCTCCTTGAAAATCTTATTTGTGATATCAGGTGAAATGCTGTTTACTGTGGATTGTTGGATAAAGAAAGGCCTTTGTTAATCTTTCAGTATGTAGTTTTACGGAAAACTACTAAGGTGTAACAATAATGAGAATGTGACAACTTTTTTATTTTTCAGCTATAATGAAAATTGTGTTTCTTTCATTTACTGGTATTATAAAGAATAATGTATTTACAAGTTACATTTTAGGTAGATTGTTTCATATATTTTTTATAATTTTTTTTTATATTGTAAAGTGTCTCAGGAAAGTCAAAGTATGAAAGATGGCCGTCTTCTGGGTTGTTGCGCCGTGTGGTCTGATAAAAGTTTACAGATGTTTCAGAGTTCCTTGCTGCAGCAAGGACCTCTGAAATGTCATTAAACTTCTACCAGACTACGTGGCGCAACAACCCAGAAGATGGCCATCTTCTAAATGGTGGTACTTTGGCTGTGATTTATTTTAAAATATTTTTTTTGCACCAGTGCTTTGAAAATGGCAACTACTATGTTTTCTTAATGTTGGTTAACACCAAACATTCAACACAGCTCTCACCGAATAGCTGAAGTTATATATTGAATTCCCATAACTTGTTTATTACATTCTGTAAGCATCATAAGGGAATGAAAGCAATGTAGTGCTGTATTATTTAATACCACTTTTGTAGGTAGTTGCATGCGTAAAAGTTTCATAAAATGAAAAAGGAGAACATTGACAAAGCAGTGGATCATAGATATGCAAGAGAACACTATATTTAATTTTCTCAGTAAGTTAGTAATTTTAGTAAGTTGACAGTATATGCATTTAACTTGTTTAGATGGAGACAAAATGTAATCGCCTGTCTTTGTTTACCTGCATGGCATGTTGCGGGACAATTTTTGTTTTTTTCCCCCACACACATGTCGGTGATCAACGATGCAGTTATGTGGCACAAACTATGAATTTGCTGTTTGTACTTTGATTATAATTGTGTTGAAACATTAAGATGCTGCATTTCAGAAAAGAATTCAGTCACTGGCCTTCATAGATTGTATGAGGCCAGCATTACTTACATTGCAGATGTACCATCTTTGGACAAAATTATAATCTGAAGGGATCTCTGAGGAACCATAATATAAATAGCTCTATGACTGATGCATGTTAATATGTTCTTATTAAGGCTTAGACTATTGATATGTAGCAATTTTAAGTGTTAGAATCATTCAGGTATTATCATTTGTACATACAATTCTGTGTTTTTAAAGAATTACAGTATGTTGTGTGACCATCAGTGCGCAATGTTGCCAGTGTTGATGGACATTAATGCTTAATTTATGCAGTACCTCTGTTTAGAAAAGGAATTTTGTTGGAGCAGAATGGGTCTGAACCATGTATATATGTATGTACAGTTCTTTTTTGTCATATATCTTTGACATGCAGTGGGTGGAATATAGATGGTTATCTGGATCAAGTCTTTCATGTTTTTAAAAGTCCCTGTGAATCAAGTTGTGAAATTAAGAGCTAAGAATTTTTAAACTCTCCTTGTTACCAGTTAATATTTGTTTTAATGAGAATGTTATGTAGTAGGATTATGTGCCAGTGAAACCTGATGTCAGGTGGGAAAAGATAATAGTATGCTTTCTAATATGTAAAGATAGTGTGATTTTTCTTAAGTGGCAGTGTTATAATTTGGTTTGTTTTGGTTTGGTTAGCTGTAGTGCAGTCTTTGATGTGGTTTGTTCTTCAACAAGTTTTTTAATAAGTTGTTTTCTCCTGAGCAGAACATTTTATACGCCCAAGAAGCAGTAATCACTCTGCACACTTTGTCTTGCAGGTGGCAACAGTTCAGTGCTTACCAGCAAGCTCAATATACTTCGGAGAACTGCATGACAATGTCACAATTGTCAAGATGGTACCATAGTGCAGGTGATATCACCGGTTATAATAAAAACATTGTAGATGGTGATAATAGTGTTGTGCGTTACGAGCATAATGAAGGGAATGGGCATAGCTCTAGAAGACACCAAGAAGGCGCTGAAGATCGCCCTGTTTATGAATGTGATCATTGTGGCAAGAAACTGGCCTCAAGAGAAAATATGAAAGTTCATCTTAGAATTCATACAGGTGAACGTCCATTCACCTGTCATATATGCGGCAAACAGTTTCAGGCTCCATCTGGGATTAAGCGCCATCTGAAAGAGGTTCATGAAGGGGTGAAGGAGCATGTGTGTGACATCTGTGGACGTGCCTTTGCAAACAAACGGACTTTGGAGGACCACCGTCGCATTCATACAGGGGAGAGACCTTTTGTTTGTGATTTGTGTGGGAAGACGTTTAAGACAAAGGCGTCACTCTATGTTCACAACAAGGGTCACACAGATGTTTTTCCCTTTGGGTGTCCACATTGTAATAAACGTTTCCGAGCTCAGACATCTCTGACATTGCACATTCTGAAACATACTGGAGAGAAACCACATGCTTGCAATGTTTGTGGAAAACAATTTCGGATCAAGTACGAGCTTGGGAAACATAAACTAATTCATTCAGATGGGAAACCCTTTGTATGTGTTAGATGTGGACATACCTTCAGACTGAAGAAATACTTGAAAAATCACACTAAAACTCATCACAAAGATAGTGAGGAAAGTAGTGCATTAACTTCAGCATTTCTTCCAGTTAAATGAGAGGCAGTAAAGAGAGTTACAGCTTTTTAACTCCATTCTCTTTACTCTAGTATCCAGTGAAGGTTAGTACTATGTGGGATCAGATTTATGCCTGCCAAAGTTAGAGTATGAATGAATTTAGGACTGATTTATAACCATGCCTTGTAGAAACAGATAATGCAATTTTGAAGTCACGAGGTCACAATTTCTGCATCTTGGTCGTGATTTAAAATGCTGCATTAAATACTCTGTTGAGCTGAGTATTGTATACCAACTCTAACACATTTCATTTCATGTTGGCCCAAATATGGCATTATGTTTGTTTAATAACTGATATTAGCCTTTATCTTACGGGAATGGGAGATTTACAGTTCACATCCCATTGCTATGGTGCTGCTGATTGAACATGGTATTAACAAGTACACTAGTGCAATACACAGGCACAGATGGTAAAGGTTAACATTGTAATAATATTTATTGCATAGAAGTAATGTCTTACCTAATTCAATTCTAAAGGGTTTTGACGACGGTAGTTTACATTTATAATTATTCATTGTCAGGACTTTTTCCATCATCTGTTCTTTAAAATCACGACGTTTCGGAGGCTGGTTCTGTCTCCGTCTTCAGGTGAGAGGTACCTACTCTGTTGGGTGCCTTAGATAGAGCTAGTCTCTGTCACTGGACAATATAAATCATGCTATTTAATGACAGAGACTAGCTCTATCTAAGGCACCCAACAGAGTAGGTACCTCTCACCTGAAGACGGAGACAGAACCAGCCTCCGAAACGTCGTGATTTTAAAGAACAGATGATGGAAAAAG